ACACCCATCCATCCACCCATCCATTCATCCACCCACCCATACACCCATCCATCCATCCCTCCACCCACCCACCCCTCCACACACACATACCACACACACACACACCACCCACCCACACACACACCCACACACACACACACGGGGAAGGGGGGAGCTGTTACAGGGCATTAGCCACCCTAAGGAGGACAATGGCTTCCTTTCAGAGTGTGTGGTGTGGTACTGAACACCGGTCTGTTAGTGAAGGGTTTGTTGGTCTGTTTCTAACTTATTCCTCTGTTGTATGAATTGAATCCCGCCCCCCGGGAGAATGGGGGCTTCTACAAGACTGCTCCTACTAGCCTTGCATCCATACCCCAGTTCTGCACCCCCTGTCACAAGAAGCTCAAGCCCTGTACAGAAGGTGGCTTCAGAGGCCAGGAACACTGCTGCAGCCCCCACCTCAGCTGGCTGGCCCATGCGGCCCAGGGGCTGGGGAGAGAAGGGAGAAAGAAAATTAAGAGTAGCCCTCTTAGGTATGTTGGTTCACATTTGTCATCTCAGCAAGAGAGGTCTAGGCAAGAGGTTTGCCCTGGGTTCAAGACCAGCCTGGGCTAGAGAGTTCACACAAGTGCATGCCTGTGAACACACACAAAGAATGGCACATGCTTGTGACTCCGGCACTCAGGAAATGGAAGCAAGAAAATCAGAAGTTCGAGGATGTCCCCAGGTACATATCAAGGTCCAAGCCAGTCTGGATTATATGAAGCTCTGAAGAGGAGGAGAGGAGAGAAGAAAGACCCTGACCTGATCCACACTCTACCCCCAGCTAACTCCGTCCCTCCCAGCTCCTAACCATGCCTACCTGGGCTAAGGTGCCTTCTAGGATGGTGGCACTGGGGTCTGAAGTTGAGGCTGCCAGCTCTTCCCACAGTGGAGTCCAGATGTTCCCTGGGGAGATGCTAGGTAAGGGGAGAAGGGATGGGAGAAGCATATGCTACTTCTGTCTTGGCAACCCCAACTGCCCCCAGCTTCTCTGATCCGCTCACCAGTTGACACGGACACCATATCGGCTCTCATCCAAGGCCAAAGCTTTTGTCATAGCTGTCACTGCACCCTGCAGAGGCAGAGACCAGGGAGGGTTGGGTCTGAGGATGGAGTCCCTCCCAAACTCTTCTTGGGGGGTCGGGAGCTTTAGCATCAGTGAGATTAGTCTCAGCCCTCTTGCAGACATTCCCTGTGCATGGGCTCTGTGCAGGCCAATTTGTTACAGGTTGCTGTAACTTGGGACTAAATGAGGGAGGTAGTGTGGGACATTCCTGGGTTTTGACACCTATGGGAACTTGGGAGACTGAGACAGTTGGATTGCCATGAATTCAATACCAACCCAGGCTTCAGGGTGAGACTGTGGCTTAGACAAAAACAAGAGGGGCCTTGCAAGAGGGCTCAGCAATAAAGACACTGGCTGACAACCTGAGTTCGATCCCTGGGACACACACAGTGGAGGAGAGCTAACTGCTCTATGTTGTCCTCTGACCTAAACTCAACATGGATCAGAAAGATACCCATGCATATACCTACATGCAGGCAAAACACCCCTATACTTAAAGATAAATAATATTACATGTTTTTAGTGACCTTACTGCTGAAGATACAACATACTTTGGATGCAGGATACAGAGAAATCAAGCTAGAACTGGCCTGAAACCTTCCTCCTTGCTGGATAAGTTCCATGGTCACAGAAAATGTTATTCAGGTCACTGGGAGAGATAAGTCATCAATAGATTTATCTACAAGTGAACCTTGTACGCTGCAATACTGACCTGCCAGGCAGGTGCAATAGTGCATCAATGTTATGGGGGTATCTGCTTTCTGTTTATATAAGAAGACAGTTCTACAGGAGAGAATTCATGCCTAATACTGTAAACCTGGTCAGAAGTCCATGGTTCAGGAGGTCCCAGGCCTCAGGCCTCCGACAGTTCTGCCTCAGTCAGAAAAGCTCTTCCTCCTTTATTGTTGTGAATGTTTGAGGCAGGGTTTCACTATAGTCTATTGTAGACTAGGCTGGCCTCCAACTCGCAGAGATCTGCCTGCTTCTGTTGTGGGTTATTTGTACACTGTGTGAAGGTGTATTGCTGTGACTGGTTTAATAGAGCTGAACAGCCAATAGGTATATAAATAGGAAATAGGAAATAAAGTTTATATAATTGAGAGACAAAAAAGTTTAAGTTGTTTATTTAAGAAGATGTTTTTAGATGTGAAAAGATATTTTAGGATAGTAATACAAATTATGACAGAAAATGGTTTTAGCATAAAAGTTTGGACCCACTAAGATAGATAATACAGTATTTTTTTTCCAAATTTGCCAAATACAAATGGACTAAACATTGTGAATGTAATTCTTATTTGATAGTTGTTCTTACTGTATATAGTTTTTACTATGTTAGGGTTAAAACCTTTCCTTTTTATTTAGACGAAAGGGGGAAATATTGTGGGATATTACACACTGTGTGAAATGTGTATTGCTGTGATTGGTTTAGTAAAGAACTGAAGGACCAATAGCTAGGCAGGAGGTCTAGGTAGGACTTCCAGGCAGAGAGAGAGAGGAAGTAGGAGATGAGAATAGGTGCACAAGAGATGCCAGGAGACACAGGAGAAGCAAGATGGGCAGTAAGTGACAGAATGTGGAAATGGGTTAATTCAAGTTATAAGAGCTAGTTAAAAACAAGCTTAGGTGAAAGCCAAGCTCTCATAATTAAAAGAAGTCTCCGTGTCATTATTTGGGAGCTGGCTGGCCAGACAGAGAAAGACTCACTACATGCTGCTGCCTCCTGAGTGCTGGATTGAGCGTGAGCTCTGCCATGCCCAGTGAGAAGCCCCTGTTTGCAGTGTGGATAGTTAATGCAGAGACTGATGTGCTGAGAATCAGTGACTGCTGAGTGCTCAGCCCTAGCTGAGACAGCTACACAGCAACCCCATGCTATGGCTCAGGGGACAACATGAATGAGTAAGATCTGGGGGGCAGAGAGCAGTCCTGTAAAATGCTGTCTTCTGGTCATTCCATGGCCCTTGATATCATGAACTGACTGCAACTTACCTGCAGAAGACTCACACAAGTGAAGTAGTTGTTAGCATTGAAGCATGGATTGGGGGGGCTCATAAGGACCCGAACCTTACTGAAGAATATTGGCAACTGAAGGCTGCTGAGGATGAGGGTGTGGTCACTGGTAGATTGTCCACTGGTAGGTGGATGCACTCAGTGGGTCATTTAAAAATGAGGGGAAGAAAGAAAGGAAGGAAGGAGGGAAAGAAGGAAGGAAGGAAGGAAGGAAGGAAGGAAGGAAGGAAGGGGTTAGAGATGGAGGAGAGAGAAAAGAAAGAGGATGTCAGGCAATTGGGAGAGGGGAGGTGGGGTGAGTATGGTGATGAAGATAGATTGTATGTATGTATGAAATTGTTCAAGAAGTATAAACATTACCTTTTAAATGTATACGTGTGTGTGTGTGTGTGTGTGTGTGTGTGTGTGTGTGT